GTGGTCCTGACTTCTTTGCTCATATTTTCCCTCCTTCTGCTCCTCCTTGGGACATTGGGAGCTCAGTCCAGTGCTCCAGTGTGGGTCTCTGTCTCTATCTCCATCCATCTCCAGATGAAGGTTCTTTATTTATCTCTAGAAACCAATTATGAGTGAGTACATCCCAAGTTCATCTTTTTGGGTCTGGGTTACCTCACTCAGGATAGTGTGTTCTATTTCCATCCATTTGCATTGCATGCTTTTTTTTCTTATTTCTTGTACTCTCTTGGTCACAATAGCCTCTGGAGATGCCAACTCCACAATTTTTATCTCTTCATTCAACAATCCCATCAAGTTGTAGTTTTTATTTTTTTATTTGCTTACTAACAGCTCCCCAAAGTCTCAGTGCAGCCTATGGTTGATCCATTGAGGGTTACGGGCCCATTCCTGAACTAAGCTTTATAATCAGAGTTAGCATATTCTGAGATGAAGTGTATTCGTCATGGACCCAAACCTATGGTCATGGGTGGGAAAACTACAGATATATTCTTCCTAGAAATAATTTGTGTTCATTTTTATCCTCCATTACTCCCCATCATCTTCTTCCTCTCCCAGTAAATTCCTTCCTCTTCCAACAAGTGTTGCTCCCACTTTAATGTCTTTGTATTTTTTATACTTACCAATTTAATATCTTTATAAGAGGTAGGACCTCATGGGACCCTTTCCTATGTGTGATGGAATGTTGCTGAAGCCAGTCTGGTGCTGGTCTTGTGCAGGTAACAATCACTGTTGTGAGTTCATAAGTCCAATGGCCACAGCAGGTTCAAAGGACAATATTTCACAGCATTCCTTGCAACTCCCCAGCTCTTACATTCTTTCCAGCTGCTCTTCTACAACATTCCTTGAGCTTTGGGGAAGGGGGCAATATAGATATACTATTTAGGACCAAGCACTCAACTGTCACTTGTTCTTAGCACTTTGACCAGTCATTAGTCTCTGTACTAGCCACTTCCCACTTCAAAAAGAAGCCTCGGAGAGCAGCACTAATCTGTGGGTATAGACATAAATATTTTGAAGAAATCTAATAGCATGTCTATTGATCACAGAAACAGCACTATCACTTCGTGCATCCCCATTTGCTGCATATTTCTAAATCAAACTGTAGACAGCACTTCAGATCATCAGACACATATTCTTTGTTTAATTGGAGGTAAAGTAAGTGTCCGGTAGACATTTGTATATGTATTTTCACTTCAAAATCACTGTAAAGGAATTCAGTTGAATTCAACATTTCTAACAAATCAGATAAACTGCCACTTGGCAATTTACTGTTTCCTTCTTTTGTGTTTTGTTTTGTTTCCTTTAAATAATGTTAAAAGAAATCAAAATTTTAATAAATGGCACTAATAGCCTATGACATGAATGTCAAACAGAATATTTGTGCTACACTCACTCTGTCAGCTAGACTCGAGTCTAAAAGTACACATTTCTCTAAGGCTAATTGAATAATAGCTGAAACAAAAAGATTTCATTCCAATTATAATTTTTTAAATAAGAAAAATTTCAAAGAATCAACATCAGCTGGTTTCTATTTGAAAGACAGCCTAAATGATGACACTGCCGGCGGCATCTCTGGGCTCTTCTCACACTTCTAAGCATTTCGCATGTACTGTCTTTCAAGTAGATCTTGGCCTCCTTTGAGAATTGCACATCTTGTTACCTCAGAGGCAAAAAGAGTTCAGACTCTGCGATCTCACAAGGTATTGAGCACAGGTCATGAATTGTAGAGATTTACAGATATGAGCTTGTTTTAGATTTCTGGAGGCTTCCTACAGGATTCGCAGTGACACTCACTCTGTGAATTCATAGTATGTCATCAAGTCACTCATTCTGATGAACTACCACACGCAAAGACAAATGACAGCCATATTGGTTTTTACACCATTACACACCCAGGAGGGTAATGAAGCTTGCCCTAGGTTAGTTAGGTCAAGCAAAAAAGGAAAAGAAGAGGAATTGAGCATTTTTAGTGCCAACACCAGAAAAATCTAAGCAACCCAAAGCCGTCGGTTAGGGTTTTAAATTGGTTCAACATATTTGCAAACATTCTGGCAAGTGTCAGTTAAAACTAAACACATTTATTTATGCCTTATGACACAGCAATTCCACCTTATGGCACTAGAGGTCAGAATAGTGTTAGGTGGGAGATGGGCATAGGTAGGGGGTGCTGATGGGAGAGGGATGTGAGCAAGTGATTTAGGAGCTGAGAATTGTCCTATAGATTGATCTGGCAGTGATCAAGTGTAGACACAGGTAAATATCCATTGAACTTTTCAGTCCATATGTGTACCCTTTTCTGGAAGTTATATCTCTAAAATGGCAGAGTTATGAGTAAAAGTTCCTAATAGAGAGCCTTTTGTAGCATATTTGTGACTTAGAAGGATCTAGATCTTGGAGTAAAGACAGTGCTATATATTCACAGGAGATCTCTATAGTTACATTCTCACAGGTAAAGCTCCCCCCACTCATAAAAAGTGGAGATATTGTTTGTGTTTCCTCCTAAGAAGATGAATATCATCCACCTCCTTCTCTAAGAACCTGTGACCCATCAAGAGCAAGGTCTGCCTCACCTAGAAGACTATTAGTATAGTCACAAGCAGATATAGACTCCTAAGGTACTTCTGGTACCTCCTGACTGGTCAATTAATCTTTCTTTGATAAATTGATACTATGATTTGTGACCAGGTTAATCTTGAATTCTGACCCCTTAGCAAAACCAAGTATGGTCAATAGCAAGTCATATGCCATAAGTTAGATGGCAGGCTCTGTTCATACTGATTGCCCTTGTTTGTATTGGTGTTCCTTGCATTGAACATTAGGTTTGTGCTTCAGTCTGCCATTCATCTGGCATTCTAATATCCAGGTGCATCCATTTGGTAGCAAGACACTGAAAAGCAACCCTAGCTAAGTTTGTGTTGCCATGGCTGATGCCTGGTAAATATTGTGGGCAACAAGCTCATCTCTGTTAACTACGTCAGATACTTTAGTTTGTAAAGGAAGCCACATCCGTATCTTTACTTGGGAAATTATGAGGGGCTCCTGGTGAGCATGGTTTATGATAAGAAAATCAGAGAGGAAGAACCTTAAAGTTTCAAGAGTACAAGAAAAAAATCATGACAGAAAAAAAGGATGGCCCAAGACACATTTCCTAAGTTAAGATGGTTATGTTTGTTTATATGTAGTTTTAAGAAATATGATAGCATTAATGCAGAATATGGAAGTGATTTGGAAAGAATTGATGCTAAATTTGGAAACACAAAGAATTTTCATGTACTGAGATGGGACACAATTTTATTATTCACATTTAGGTATCTTTTAAATATTAAAAAAAGCTGTGAGGATATAATGAGTTAAAGCTGTTGGAAGCTTCCTAGAGACAAAAAAAAACCTCTATTTTGAGACATTGCATTCATAGAATGTTTTTTATTTGATTTTAATTCAAGGAACAAATTTTTGTATTTGAGTAAACTCTTGAGAAAGGTTCCATAAACTGCCTTGCATTAGTGTTATACAGAGCAATACAGTATACCTTTGCTATGAAAATTTTCATAAGAACAGAACATATGTTCCACTTCATGGTATCAAACACAGAGCAAAATTATTCTAATTGGGAACATACTTGGATAAATGATTGGATTAAAATGACTGAGAGTTATAAATGTCTGAAATGTCTATTTCAGGCATGAGTAGGGGAAATGGCACTAATTTCTAAAGTGTGCACATAATGATTAAATTATCCCACAGAGATGACAAGTATATCAGCATTACTGTGGAAAGAAATGTCATGTGAGTAAGGAAAGAGGCAAGCAATCCCTTCATGGGCAGCAGTCACCAGGAAAATGCCTTTTTACCTCTATTGTCACACAAACCATGATTGCACCCATTTCTCTACAATCTCAGTACTCATTAATCTCATCTCTTGTATCTGCCAAACTAAATAAAATGATGTATACACCCCTAACTCTTACCCAATCTCTCTCTCTCTCTCTCTCTCTCTCTCTCTCTCTCTCTCTCTCTCTCTCTCTCTTTCTCCTCTCTCCTCTTTCGTCTCTCCTCTCTCTGCTTGTGTGTGTATGAGTTTATCTGTCTCACTCTATCTCTCTCACCCTCTCTCCCTCCCCCTTCCCCTCCTGGGGTTCACATTTAGAGATTTTAAAGGGAGTCTCATGAGCTAGACCAGATTGATTATATATATATATAATCAATATATATATTTATATATATAAATTTATATAAATTTATATATATATATAAATATATGATTTATATATATATAAAGATGCCATCAAATTCTCACATTTGAGTTAAATTCTCATCACCAACAGCCATTTATTTTCCCAAGTATCTTAACTTTGGAATAAGTTAATAAAATTTAGCCATGTAAAAGATGCAGATAGACAATGTCTACATACACCCGCCTTTACCTTGCTCTTTCTCCTTGATCATGACTCTGAAATACAAGTAAGACTCAACATTGGAATCTTGGCCTTCTTAGCCATGTGGAAGGTATGTGGTCATCCTGAGCCTATTCCTCCACCTGCAGAATAGGAATAACAGTATGCCTTTGCTTCTTACCATTTTGTTAGGAAGAATAAGCTGGTAAGTGTGAATGCGTTTAAAGCCTTCCAAGAACATGCAAATGTCCTTTTTTCCCTTTTTCCTTTCACTGGAGAAATTGACATTTTTTTTGTCTAGCAGTAGGATTTCTCAAAAACATTTTATTACAAAACAATGAAGAACTCAGAGACAGATGTAACATAAGAATGCAGAATGCTGTGTTCTGTTTCCCCAGCTTCTCTTATGGGTGACATTATTTGAATGTTGTAGATCATCAAAACGGAACTATTATTATTTATTATATTGGACTGATAAATACATTATACATATTATCCAGTTTTGTGTTTTTTATCAATCTGGAATTTGGTTTCTCCTCAGTCTTTTGGTCTCCACTTTCTCTAGCCACAGTGATCTCTGAGGACTCTAAAATAACCACTTGAATTAGCCCACTAACTTAATGTCTGTCATATTCAAGCAAGTTCTGACTTAAAACCTTCCCCAGTTTTCCTAATTATACTTGAAATCTCTGTAAAAAAATCTATTCTTTTAATCTAAATCTTTTTTTTCACTGTTTATTGCACAATAAGTGGATTTTGTAGAAAAAAATTCCCAAGCTCTTAGACCTGCTAAACAGCTTACTAAAATGGTAAACACAGCGGTTGCCAACAACAATGCATTAAATGACAAGCTAGATAATGCATTTTCATTAACAGTTTCCTTAATAGTCTCTGTTTAAAAGACTTGCAGCATGAATCTTTTCTTAGTTGATTCATATCTTTCTTAAATTTTAATGTTATTCTGTCACCCTTCTTAGTACTGTTTAGACAGTGCCCTTAGTGGCTAGAGAAAAAGTGGGTAGAACCTTGGGCTGCAGAGATTGCTCAGGGGTTAAGAGCTGATGTTCCAGCGTACTCATGTCCTATGCCCAGCACCCACACATGTCTGCTTGCAATTCTAAAGTCAGGGGATTCAATGCCCTCCTCTGATATCAGAAACTCATGTGGTGCATGTACACACACACACACACACACACACACACACACACACACAGAGGCAAAACACTCCTATACATAACTATTTTCAATAAAAAAACTAAAATAAGGAAATGTTCAACATCCTTAGTCATCAGAGAAATGCAAATCAAAATAACTTTGAGATTCCATCTTACACCTGTAAGAATGGTCAAAATCAAAAACACTGATGACAACTTATGCTGGAGAGGTTGTGGGGTAAAGGAAACACTTCTGCATTGCTGGTGGGAGTGCAAGCTGGTACCGCCCTTTGGATGTCAGTGTGGCAATTTCTCAGAAAATTAGGAAACAACCTTCCTCAAGACCCAGTAATACCACTTTTGGGTATATATCCAAAGGATGCTCAATCGTGCCACAAGGACATGTGCTCAGCTATGTTCATAGCAGCATTGTTTGTCATAGCCAGAACCTGGAAACAACCTAAATGCCCCTTGACTGAAGAATGGATGAGGAAAATGTGGTATATTTACACAACGGAGTACTACACAGCAGAAAAATGACAACATCTTGAATTTTGCAGGCAAATGGATGAAGCTAGAAAACATCATTTTGAGTGAGATAACCCAGACACAGAAAGACAATTATCACATGTACTCACTCATAAGTGGTTTTTAAACATAAAGCAAAGAAAACCAGCCCACAAATCAATCCCAGAGAACCTAGACAACAATGAGGAGCCTAAGAGAGACATACATAGATCTAATCTACATGGGAAATAGAAAAAGACAAGATTTCCTGAGTAAATTGGAAGCATGGGGACCTTGGGAGAGGATTGACGGAGAGGGGAGAGGTAGGGGTGGAGCAGAAAAAAATGTAGAGCTCAACAAAAATTATTTTAAAAAACACTAAAATATACTATGAACACTGATTTTTGACAAAGAAGCTAAAATTATACAATTGGAAAAAAAGAAAGCATCTTCAACAAATGGTGCTGGCATAACTGGATGTCAACATGTAGAAGAATGCAAATAGATCCATATCTATCACCATGCACAAAACTTGAGTTCAAAGACCTCAACATAAATCCAGCTACACTGAACCTGATAGACGCGAAAGTGGGAAGTACACTAGAACTCGTGGGCACAGGAGACCACTTCCTGAATATAACACCAGTAGCAGAGACACTGAGATTGACAATAAGTGGGACCTCCTGAAAGTGAGAAGCTTTTGTAAGGCAAAAGACACTGTCACTAAGACAAAACAGCAGACTACAGAAGGGAAAAGATCTTCACCAACCCTACATCTGACAGAGGACTCATCTCCAAAATATATAAAGAACTCAATAATCTAGACATCAAAATATCAAATAATACAATTTAAAATGGGGTATAGATCTAAGCAGCAAATTCTCAACAGAAGAAACTCATATGGCCAAAAGACACTTAAAGAATTGCTCAATGGCTTTAGCCATTAGGGAAATGCAAATCAAAATGACTCTGAGATACCATCTTATACCAGTCAGAATGCCTAAGATCAAAAACACCAGCGACCTCTTATACTGGATAGGAGACAGAGTAAGAGACACACTCCTCCTTTGCTGGTGGGAGTGTGATCTTGCACAGCCACATTGGAAATCGGTATAGCAGTTTCTCAGAAAATTGGAAAACAATCTACCTCAAGACCCAGCAATACCACTCTTGGGCATATACCCAAAGGATGCTCAATCATACCACAAGGACATGTGTGCAACTATGTTAATAGCAGCATTATTTGTAATAGCCAGAACCTGGAAACAACCTAGATGCCCCTCAACCAAAGAATGGATAAAGAAAATGTGGTACAATTACAATGTAGTATCACTCGGTGGTAAAAAAAAAAAAAAAAGACATTTTGGTTTTTATCTATCTATCTATTTATTTATTTATTTATTAAAGATTTCTGTCTCTTCCCCGCCACCGCCTCCCACATCCCTCACCCTCCCCGAATCAACTCCCCCTTTGTCATCAGCCCGAAGAGCAATCAGGGTTCCCTGCCCTGTGTAAAGTCCAAGGACCACCCACCTCCTTCCAGATCTAGTAAGGTGAACATCCAAACAGCCTAGGCTCCCACAAAGCCAATACATGCAGTAGGATCAAAACCCATTGCCATTGTTCTTGAGGTCTCAGTAGTCCTCATTGTCTGCTATGTTCAGCAAGTCCGGTTTTATCCCAGGCTTTTTTCAGACCCAGGCCAGCTGGCCTTGGTGAGTTCCCGATAGGACATCCCCATTGTCTCAGTGTGTGGGTGCACCCCTCGTGGTCCTGAGTTCCTTGCTCGTGCTCTCTCTCCTTCTGCTTCTGATTTGGACCTTGGGATTTCAGTCCGGTGCCCCAATGTGGGTCTCTGTCTCTGTCTCCTTTTATCGCCTGATGAAGGTTAATATCCAGGATGATGACTATATGTTTTTCTTTGGGTCCACCTTCTTATTTAGTTTCTCTAGGATCACGAATTATACGCTCAATGTCCTTTATTTATGGCTAGAAACTAAATATGAGTGAGTACATCCCATGTTCCTCCTTTGGGGTCTGGCTTACCTCACTCAGGATAGTGTTTTCTATTTCCATCCATTTGCATGCAAAATTCAAAAAGTCATTGTTTTTTACTGCTGAGTAGTACTCTAATATGTATATATTCCATCCTTTCTTCATCCATTCTTCCATTGAAGGGCATCTAGGTTGTTTCCAGGTTCTGGCTATTACAAACAATGCTGCTATAAACATAGTAGAGCATATACTTTTGTTGTGTGATAAGGCCTCTCTTGGGTATATTCCCAAGAGTGGTATTGCTGGGTCCAGGGGTAGGTTGATCCCAAATTTCCTGAGAAACCGCCACACTGTTTTCCAAAGTGGTTGCACAAGTTTGCATTCCCACCAGCAATGGATGAGTGTACCCCTTTCTCCACAACCTCTAATAATTGTAATTGCCTGAAAATTGGAAAGCAAACTGAGGTTTATGTGTATGACCTTGGCGGGTTGAGCACTCTAGTTTGTTCTTTCTTTTTGACAAATATGGGTCCTACTGACCACCCATCACTTCTACAGATGTTTTAGGACAAGCATTTCCAAGGGCCCACACCTATTTCTCTGACGTCAATGCAGGGCCCATTTCTCAAGTGCTGGAAACCCATCTCTCAGAGATTTTTAAAGCCCTCATTCTTCCCTGTGATAGATAACTTCCCATTAGTAATAAAATCACTGAATAAGCAACTTGTAAGTAGAGAAGTTTTGTTTTGGCTCATTGCTTCGGAGATTTAAGTTCATTTTTAGATGATGCTATTGATTTTAGGCCCACAGTGGGAAGTAGCATCATGTCATGGCAGGAGTGTGTGACAAAACAAAGCTAGCCACTTCATGACTAGGAAGCTGAAGAAGAGGTGGGTGTCTCACGATCTTTGAGAGCACAGACCATTAAATAAAATATTCTCCACTGGGTTTCATCTCTTAAATGTTCCTTGATCTCCCAATAGCACCAGAGAATAGGGACTAAACATTCGACATGGTCGTTTAGAGGATGTTTAAACCAAACCATCACTTCACCATTTATGGTTTCAATACATTAGTCATGATTGTCTAGCAATATCATAATGAAACACCTCTGTATAATAATTATACAGTAATAAAAGGAAGACATTAGAAAATAACTCTACAGATATGGTTCCTAAACTATCTCTCATTCTCAAACAATCGCAAGGGATTTGGTGTCAAACTTCATCTGGCTCCAAGCCCCACCTTTAACGTTGCTACCGCCACTCTCACCGTTTCTTAGACTCAAAATACAAGGTTTTGTAGACCCCCTGATTTAAAAGACAGTGCTCCTGGAGCTGCACATTCCCACTGTGTCACTCCTGCCTAACAAAGGCACCACATACCCAAACACATTTCAAGACCTCAAAGGTCCAAAAAATTGATTTTAGTGATTTTCTAACTTTGAGCAAACCAGATAAGACGTTAATATAGCGAGTCAAAAGATAAAAATCCCACAATTCTCTCTCTCTCTCTCTCTCTCTCTCTCTCTCTCTCTCTCTCTCTCTCTCTCTCTTTCTCTCTCTCATATTCTGTGCCCATTTTTGGATTACAAGTTTTTGCTCCAGTTCATTTTTCTTGACCACAACTATGTTCTTTACTCTTTCTCCCTGTAATCTTCAACTCAGAGTTAAGGCGTCTGGCAGTTACCAGTTTTGCCCAGTTTGTTGACACTAATGTTATACCACTTGGAACTGTTTCCTAATGTTCTATAACCTTTATATACTTACTCAACTAGATTGCAAGATCCTTAGGGAGAGAAACAGTGTCTTTTGTTTTTGCAATTTCCGTAGTTGCTGAAAAATGCCCCATTTCAAAGTGGTGTTATATTCTTCATGATGAATTAATTGCATATGTTGAAATAGGAGCGGCGGGGCTGCGTCCCCGGCACCCGGCCGCCCGCATGGCTAGTTTATTCCCTGAAATAATTACACGGAAACTGTATTCTTTCAAACACTGCCTGGCCCGGCTAGGTCCAGTTTCTTATTGGCTAGCTCTTACATATTGTTCTAACCCATTTCTAATATTCTGTGTAGCCCACGAGCTGGCTTACCAGGGAGGATCTTAACCTGCGTCTGTCTGGAGCGGGAGAATCATGGCGACTCACTCACTAAGCTTCTTTCTCCCAGAATTCTCTTCTGTTTTCTCCACCCACCTAATTTTCTGTCCTATGAGGGCCGAGGCAGTTTCTTTATTATTACAAGACCCACCTCCATCATGCATATGCCCCGCTGATATCAACAAAATGGAAAGGTAAAGTTGAATTTATATTCTTGTTGAAAACAATTTTCTCATATAATACATTCTGATCAGAGTTCCTCCTCTCCCAGTTCCTCCTAGTTCCTCCCCCATGTCTCCACACACGCAACTTCATGTCCCCCATAAACCTACAGGCAAACAAAACAAACCAACCATAAATTTTTCAACATAATATTTCTATTATTTGAGAATTTCACATAATGCTCTCCTAACTTACCCACTTCCCAGTCATCCCAGGTCCACCTGCCCACCCTTGTGACCTCCCCCTCAAAAAAAAAGAAGAAAGAAGACCTTCCTCCAAAAAACAAGAAGAAAGAAAAAAACACAACTCCAATTTTTGTTGCCCATATACTCACTGGAACATGGTCAAACTCAGTGGCAGGACTTTAAAGAAAACTGAGTCTTTTAATACCCACCCCCACCAGAAGCCATCAGTTGTGGAGATTTACACTTCAACATACTTATTACAGGCCATGGACATCAACTTGGCTCTTGGGAATATGGGCTAGGACACCAACAAAGTCCTTAGTAGCAGCACGACCCACAGACATCAACATGGCTTTAGAAGGGACCACAGACCATGGGCATGTCTGTCTTTTGGAGGCAACATGGGCCACATACATCAACATGGTCACAGGCTTCAGCATGATCATGGACCCCAACATGGCATTCAGGAGCAGCATGAACCACAGATATCACCACGGTCTCTTGTGTCTGCACAGATCACCTGCATCAATGCGGCCTCCAGCAGTAGCATGTCCCATGGACATCAATATGGCTTCAGGAAGTGGCACAGACCACCGATATCCACATGGCCTTTGGTGGTATGTGAATGGGCCATGAACATCAACAAAGGCCCTGGTTACAGCAAGACCATGGACCAGAACTTTAAAAAAATAAAAATAAAAAAATCAAGAGACCCCCCCCACACATACCCATACAAAAGCAAAAAAAAAAAACTATAAAAACACAAAATTGGAAACCCCAATATATAAGCAAAATATCAGTAAAACAAATGTCCAAACAAAGCAATGTGAAGCAAAAATGTCTTCAAAAGTACCATTTAGTTGTTTTGTGTTGGCTATATACTGTTGGGTATGGGGTTTACCCTTATGTGTAGTTAATATAACCTAAGAAACTCCACTGGAGAAAATTAATTTTTTCCTTGCAAATGGATATCAATTAAAGAAAGACAGTTTCTTGATCAAGAATAGAAATCTCTGTCCAGTTATTCTTCTCAGAATTTGGACTCTGACTTGAGATTGAGCAGGCCCTATGCCCACTGCCATTACCTCTGTGAGTTCATACATGTGTTAGGCCTGTTGTGTCTGAAATATGGCTGTTTTCTTGGTGTTATCCATCCCCTTTGGCTCTTAAAAATCTTTAGGTCTCCTCTTCCACATTGCTCCCTGAGCCCCGAGGGGCAGGTGTTTGACAAAGTCCATTTACAAATGAGTGTTCCAAGGTCTCTCACTCTCTTTGTAATGTCCAGTTGTGGGTTTCTGTGTTCTGTGTTAATTTCTATCTACTGCAGGAAGAAGCTTCTCTGATGATGGCTGAACAAGACACTGATCTATGGGTATAGCAGAATGTTATTAAGACTCATTTGATTACTATGATGTAATCAATTACTTTCTTAATATGTTTTTAATTGAGATAGAATATCACTTTTCCCCCTCCAGCCTCTCCAAGTCACCATCTCTTGATCCCCTGCCATGTCTCCCCCTCCATTCTCAAGTTGATAACCTCTTTTTATTGGTGTGTGTGTGTGTGTGTGTGTGTGTATTGTGGGAAAAAAATTTCTGTCCTCAAGGAACAGCTTGTGTTCAATGAGCAGCCGATGTTGTAGTATACTCATATTTACCTTACCTGGGGGCAACTCTGAAGGCTTATCTGGTTTCAGACATTCTGTGCTGCCTCTGCTACACATGAATTTAAGTTCATCTTCCTTCTGCCCAGTGTCTCTTCTTTCATCCCCTCTACAAGGGTTTCTAAGAGCATCCGTGAGAATCTTTCTGAACACAGGCGTCTAGTTTTTTAGTTCATTATCTAGTCTCTTCGCTGTATAATTGTGTGGTTTCCATATGTACGGATTCATGCTTGTCTGTATGTGGGCATACTTGTTTGGGGCACACACACAGGGTTGCATGTGCATCTGGAGGATCAAGGGTATTGCTAAAAATCATCCTTATTTGTTTTTCCACCTTGTGCAGTGGGGCAGCGTCTCTCAGGTGAATTAAGAACTCAGGAATATGGCTCATCTTGCTAGCCAGATTGTCCTGGGGGACTAACTGTCTCCACATTCCAAGGCTGGAGTTACAAGTGGGTTGCCATGCCTAGTTGGCATTTACATGGATCCTGAAGATATGAATTCTGGTCCTCACACTTGTGTGACCAAGCACTTAAAAACCGAGCCATCTGCTCTGCCTAAACTTTCCTTTAGAACATTTCATGAGGATGAAACTCTTGCTTATCTTATTTAATGCTGGATCTCGAATAGGATCTAACATGTGATTGGTGCTCAAAAATTGTTTGTGGATCATGAACTAATGAATAAAGGATTTGATCTAAATTTTATATGCCTGCTTTTTTTCTATATGGGAAATCAAGAACAAAAAAGCAAATTAAATCTCCTAAGATCACAAAGTCAGTCAACTGTGGAACTAGGCCTTTACTTATATGAATGCAATATCCACACTCTTTACAAAAGCAAGTTAGGCCTCTTGCTTTCTTTTGTCACTGTGAATAGTACCTGTCACTTGACTGGAGGCCATATCCCTTTGATTCTTATGGTCTGACTAATTTGGTACACTTGACATGGAACCTTCAATGTAGCCTTCAGTTCTCTCTCTCCCTCCACCTCTCCCTTCCTCCTCTCTCCATACACACCAGCACCATCCGTGACTCCACATGTAACTTTACTCCAGTGTTGGATTGTTTCTTCTTTGATTTCACTGACAGTTTGATTTGGAGTTGGACTAATCCCAAATTTAATCACTTACTCATTGCTTTGGTTTCATCCTCCATCTTCTACAGTTAGCTGTAGATGTCATTCCCAAATTGTTTTTCACCACCCAATCAGGTTCCAGGTAGGATATAGGATTCACAACCAATGTTTTAAGTGGGAAAAAATTTGACACAGGAATTCACTGGGATGTGAGCAAAGTTACAGGGACAAACTATGTTGGTGCAGCGTTTAGGAACTAGGAAGAATGGGGAGAAGTTATTACTACTAAGGCTGAAAGGAATAGTGTTAGCTGAGTCTGGTAAGAGTTGCAGCCATGGGGTAGGAATTCTTTAGTGGGAACTATAATCCAGCAAGAATGTGAATGATAGCAGAAACAGGGTGCCAAGTCGAGAAAGAACTTCTGTATGGCCATGCTTGAATCTAAAGTTGGCCTCTTCTCTTGGCCAACCACAACCAGATGCAAGATGACAAGGGAGACTTGTGATGCAGTAGTCTGGGGTAAGTTTCTGAGGAATGACAGAGAATGTATCTGGAGGGTGTGATGGCAACAGTAAAGTCAGTACATCCCAGTTCTCCCAGGTCAATAGCATGGAAAATGTTCATGCCCTCCCCAAGACCATTCTACAATATACTCCCAAGTGCAGGTAGTGGTACAGGATATGTACTTTCCATCTCATGAAATCCCATGACTGTTATGACCTACCCTGCTATAGTTTGGTAAATGTCCTCCAAAGGATATGTGGCAAAGGCTTGGCCTCCAGCCCATGGTGCTCTTGTGAGGTAGTAAAATAACTTTAGGAGAAATTGTCTGGTGGGAGATGTTCCACTGGAAGAGCTAGTGGAGGGCTGTGAGGACACCCACTCCTTTCTTTTCTCCTCCACACCCTGATCATAAAGCATGCAGTCTTGCTATGCCATGCCATAATACACCATGTCACCATAGACTCAACTGGTCATGGATTTAAACCTCAACCTCATGAGACAAAAGAAATTTTCCTATTTTATAAGTGGATTTATCAATAGCATTTGTTAGTATAATGGAAACTTGACTAACATATTCCCTATTGTATAGATAAAGAAGCAAGTTTTTACATTGTGTGGCTCCTCTAAGACCACCATCACAGAGCTAAGAAACAGAACGTTTAAACCCGGTGCCTAGATTTGTAAGTTCAAAACTGTTTCAGCAAAATCTGTTACCCAATTAAGGTGCATCTTCTGTTGAGTGCCTCTTCATGACGACCCTTTCCTCTTTCTAAATACATACATCATGAACTTACCTCTGGCCCTTGGCCGTCTGTTTTTCAGAAATTCTGCCAGAAACATTTTTATCCCTCCTCATGGTCATTCCTTTCAGTCAACTCAGAGCCATCAGTTCTCCCTTTCGGCACCTCATCTGTTCACAAACTTCCTCTTTTTTTTTTTTTTTTAAGATTTCTTTATTTATTATGTATACAACATTCTGCCTCAATGTATGACCACACGCCAAAGGAGGGCGCCATATCTCAGTACAGATGGTTGTGAGCCACCATGTGGTTGCTGGGAATTGAACTCAGGATCTTTGGAAGAGCAGCCAATGCTCTTAACCTCTGAGCCATCTCTCCAGCCCCACACAAACTTCCTCTTGCATATCATGTTCATAGTGGATTATACACAACTGTCCTACTCAGCACAGTAGGTACTGTATGCTTAAAACACAACTGCTCCCAACCAAGAAGCCATCTACAATCAACAACTACCCATAAAGAAGAATTAGTTTCTCCAATGGAGTCACGCTGCATCTACAATTCACATATTTAAGGCCAGGCCCCATGTCCAGCAGTAGATGACCAAAAAAAATTTTTTTGGAGACTTCTTTTGCCTCATATTACTGTGTTTTTGGCTTTTTTTCACTTCACTGGTCTTTTAGCTGCATATTATGGCTTTCAATTTTGAGTGTTTATGTGGTATGTGTGTGTCT